CCGGCCCGCGGGGGCTCCCCCATCCCGGGGCGGGCGCCGCGCTTCACCCGTGCCCCCCCAGGTGTCCCAGCTGTGCCGTGGTGTTCGGGGGCGTCAACTCCATCAAGTCCCACATCCAGACGTCGCACTGCGAGGTTTTCCACAAGTGCCCCATCTGCCCCATGGCCTTCAAGTCTGCCCCCAGCGCCCACGCCCACCTCTACACCCAGCACCCCAGCTTCCACGCGCAGCAGGCCAAGTGAGAGGGCGGGCGGGGGCAGGGGTGCGGGGCCGCCGGGCCTGCGGGCGCTCCTGCACTGTCCTCCCCGCAGGATGATCTTCAAGTGCGCCATGTGTGACACGGTCTTCACCCACAAGCCTCTGCTCTCCTCACACTTCGACCAGCACCTGCTGCCGCAGCGTGTCAGCGTCTTCAAGTGCCCGTCTTGCCCTCTGCTTTTTGCCCAAAAAAGGACCATGTTGGACCACCTTAAGGTACAGGCGTCGAGGCGCAGAGGCTCACCCTCAGCGAGCGGGGTCGGGGGGGCCCTGGCCCCTGGCAGAGCCCGCCCGGCCCCCCAGCAGCCACCCCCCTGTCTCCCCCACAGAACACTCATCAGTCTGGGCGTGCAGGGGAGGAAACGGCTGGGAAAGGGGCTGGCGGTGCTCTGCTGACCCCCAAGGCTGAGCCCGAGGAGCTGACCGTCTCCCGGGGAGGAGCAGCCCCCCCTACTGAGGAGTCGTCTTCATCTACAGAAGAGGAAGAGCTGCCCAGCTCCCCGGAGCCCCCGCGCCCGGCCAAGCGGCCCCGGCCGCGGCGGGAACTGGGGAACAAAAGCCTCAAGGGCGCGGGCGGGGGCCCCGGGGGCTGGGCCTGCGGCCTCTGCCACTCCTGGTTCCCCGAGCGGGACGAGTACGTGGCCCACATGAAGAAGGAGCACGGCAAGGTGAGCGCCCGGAGGGGCGGGCGGGGGCGCGGCCCTGACGCCTGCTGAGCACCCCGCTCTCCTAGTCGGTGAAGAAGTTCCCGTGTCGCCTGTGTGAGCGCTCCTTCTGCTCGGCCCCCAGCCTGAGGCGCCACGTCCGGGTCAACCACGAGGGCATCAAGCGAGTTTACCCGTGCAGGTAACGCGCAGGGCCCCGCCGCGCCTGCCTAGCGGGCCTCAGCCGCTGGGCTGCGCCCGGTGCCCATTGCCGCCCCCGCCCCGCCCCCGCCAGGTACTGCACAGAGGGCAAGCGCACCTTCAGCAGTCGCCTCATCCTGGAGAAGCACGTCCAGGTCCGGCACGGCCTGCCCCTCGGGGCCCAGTCCCCCGGCCGGGGCGTGGCGCTGACGCAGGGCTCCGGGGCCAGGGCCCAGGTAGGCAGCGGCCCGTGGGGGGCCCGGGGCCCCGGGGGTGATGGTGCGGGGCGCCCACTCGCTTCGCTCCTCCAGGGGCCGGGTCGGAAACGCCGCCAGTCGTCGGACTCCTGCAGCGAGGAGCCGGACAGCACGACGCCGCCCGCCAAGTCCCCCCGGACGGGCCCCGGGCCCCTGCGCTGCCGGCGGGGCAGCGGCTCGGCGGAGCAGAGCCTCGTGGTGGGGCTGCGGGTGGACGGCGGCGCCCAGCAGTGCCTCGACTGCGGCCTGTGCTTCGCCTCCCCGGGCTCCCTGAGCCGGCACCGCTTCATCAGCCACAAGAAGAGACGGGGTGCAGGTGGGGCCGGCGCCCTGGGCCTCGGGGAGGGGGAGGAGGAGACCCCGCCGCCAGCCAGGTCTGACGCAGAGGGGGGCGAGTCGCCTCTGCCCGCTTCTGGGGGCCCCCTCACCTGTAAGGTTTGTGGCAAGAGCTGCGACAGCCCCCTCAACCTCAAGACCCACTTCCGCACGCACGGCATGGCCTTCATCAGGGCCCGGCAAGGGGGCAGCGGGGACAGCTAGGCGGGGGGACTCGGCCCCGCCCCGCCCCGGCCCGGCCGAGCCTGGCCGCCGCCACCCCACGCGGGCGTGTCCTAGACCCACGTTCTGTCGAGCGCCCCCCGCCCCACAGACACGGCTTTCGAGGATTCTAGTTCTTTGCAGTTGTTCTCCCTTTGGGTTTGGCCCTGGAGCCTCTGGAACGGACCTGCCACCCCCTCTCTGAGCCCGACACTAACGACCCTCCTGCTGCCGCCCTGCCTGACGGGAGGACAGCGCCTGCTGACGGGCGGGACCCAGCTGGCCGCCTCTGCCCCCCGCCGCACCCTGCCCGAGCACCCCAGGCCCCCCGGCACTCAAGCCCCCGCCCTGCAGTGCCTTTCACTTGTCTTTATTTTTCCCCCAGACTTCGGGGGGCTGGTGGGGATGAGTCCTGTCAAGGGGGTTCCGGGGAAGAGCGGCTCGGCTCTCAGGAATGCTGCGCGCTCGGAGTGGAGACACTGACCGCGGGGCCGGGGAGAGAAGCCGGCCATTAAACTGCTCTGGTTTGATCCCCACTCAGGCTCTTTCTGCGCGACTCGGACGGTGTGGACTCGACAGGGCGGGGTGAGAACCGGGGGGCCGGGCGCAGAGGGGTGAGCCGCTGGCCTCCACCTTGGCTCTGGGGCCCCCTTTAGCTCCTCGTCCGCCTGCTCCCTCGTCACCGGGAAAGCACGGCTCAGACGAGGCAGGTGGCTAACTAAGGACTTTATTTCAAACAAATTAAAAAATCGAGAGCTATTTCCCCGGCTGTGGGAGGGGCCGGGGCGCGAGCTCCCCGTGGCGTGGCCGATGCCCTCGTGGCCTGTGACGGGGAACCGTGGCGAGTGCGGGACCCTTTGCCGGAGCTGCCCACGGAGGTCTGGGCCGGGGTCGGTCCCTGGGAGGGGACAGTCGGGCAGCAGCATGGCCCAAGGCCGACCACGGGGTCGCGTCTCCAGCAGCAAGAACGTCCCGCCCGTCTGGGGTCCGGAGCTGCGGCGGGCACGGCTGAGGAAAGGCCCTCCGGGCCCTGGGGGACGCGGCCCAGGGCCCTCTCAGCTCCTGTTCTCCGGGCGGCGCTGCTGGCGTCTGTCGGGTGGTGGCACCGACGCCACGGGGCGAGGAGCCCAGCAGGTCTGCGCCCCGCGCTGGCTCGCGCTCCCCGGCAAGCTACGGTTACCACACGATCCTTGCCTCTCGCCTCCCGTTCCCCTCGGCTGGCGGTCGGTGGGTCCTGGGTCGGCGTCTGAGGGGCCGCGCGGCCGGCGGGCGTCACATGATGCCGTTGGTGAGGTACTGGAAGCCGTCGTAGAGCTTGGTGGTGATGGAGCGCATGCTGCCGTCCACCATCTGCTCCACCAGCAGCTGCAGCTGCTCCTCCGTCATGCTCATGTGGAACCGCTCCTTGAGGTTGCGGATGGTGCTGGAGCCGTGGAAGCAGGGCAGCTGCGAGCCTGGGCCACGGGGCAGAGGTCACGCGGGGCCGAGGCTGGGTGTCCGCAGCGCCCCCACCCTGCCCCAGAGCGCCCTGGGTGTGGACGGTTCGGCCGGGGCTGAGGCGGGCGCGTAGTGGGCTGCCGTCCCGGGCCAGGGTCACCCGCGCCCAGCTCCTCCAGAGGCCCGCGGGGCAGGGTGCGGGGCCTGGCAGGTCGGCTGGCCGCTGTAGGTGGGCCCTGTGCGGGCACTCATCTGGTCGCAGGTCTCTGCCTAGCTCCGGCTGGCGCTCACAGGGGCCCTGGGCCACCGTCCTCACGGGGCCAGACGGGGGCGCTCCCGAGCAGCGGCGGCAACCCGCGGGGCGGGCAGCCGGAACGGGGGCGTGAGGGCCCAGAGGGGTCCTGGGCAGGGCAGGGGGCGCAGAGGAAGCAGCTGGTGGGAGCAATGGGCAGGTGGCAGGAAGAAGGGCTGAGGGCAGTGGGGGCAGCGGTCAGGGCCAACGGGGAGGAAAGGTGGTGGAGGCCAGGACTGGTCAAGAGCCACGCGACGCAAGGAAGCGGACAGGCTCGGAGCTGGGCGGGAGCGGACACGGGGTCCTGGCTGCCGGCAGGGGCGCCTGCGCCTCGGCCCCTCCCCACCCCAGGCCGGGC